GAGAGAGAGAGAGAGAGAGAGAGAGAGAGAGAGAGAGAGAGAGAGAGAGAGAGAGAGAGAAGAGAGGTTTTATCGCCCAGGCAGCAAAAGACACTGGCAGACAGAGACAGTGATCAACCGTTCAACTGCCATTCTTTCCTGGGAACGTGATATAATATGCTACAAACTTAAACTTACGAAGAACAAATTGCAACTTCAGTGACAGCGTAGCATGAATAAATGTCAGTTTGCGAAAAAACAAATTCCAATTTCCAACACAATGTTCAGGAAGAGCAGGAAAACTTCCGAAAAAGTTACTAAAGTGGTAAAGTTACTAAAGTACACTAATCCACACTATCAAGTCTCAACTCACCAGGAAAGTCTGAAAAAAAAAAAAAAAAAAAAAAGGATTGCTGCCGATTGCCCAAAAAACGATTGACAGAAAGTTGCCGTCAATGGTCCTATTACATATGGACCTATTCAGAAAAGCAAGGCGGAGAAATCATCAAGACTCTGCTCTATGGCATGAAATGCAAGATTGAATAAGCTTGCTGAATCTGGCTTCGAATACCTCCCTCCCTCCCTCCCTCCCTCCTTCCCTCCCTCCCTTCTCTCTCTCTCTCTCTCTCTCTCTCTCTCTCTCTCTCTCTCTCTCTCTCTCTCTCTCTCTCTCTCTCTCTCTCTCTCTGATGGCAGACCAAAACCGACAGAATCAACCCTGTGGCAGGCTTGCACGAAAGGTCTCTATTTTGCACCAAGGCCAACAAATAAGGCTTTTTCTTCTAGAAAAGAACACAGAGATAGACAGAGGGAGGAGCACCAAAGCCTAACATAAACCTGATAAGCAAGAATAGAAGATATCTGAGAAATAGGACCTCCTATTACATGAAAGAAGATACATCAAACTACAACTACCTGCTGACGATATATATGTGGCTGCCTGCCTTTTCGAACACGCCGTCAACGGCGTCAAGTCCTTTGGGACATCTGCTACAAATGGAGTGATACAGAGAAGATTACCATGGCACCTGTTCACTTGATAACACGTCGAAACAATAAAAATTAACTAAATAAAAACACCACCCATAACAAGCATGCAACCCAATACCCACTGTCAGTGATCGGGTTAATATCTGATCGGGTGTCCATCGGCCCTATTAAAATCTAACGGGGGGGGGAGGGAGCGGGAGGGAGGGGAGAGGGGGAGGAAGACAATCATCCCATTGTTGATCCACTATTTTTATCGACCGAGAAGGGACAGCTCCCAACTGTCCTCAATTCATCCATGATCATTTACCAACAGCCTTGTTAACTGCTACTATATCCCATAACCGTGATTCCTTTGTTTTTCTAAAGCTTGGTAGTAGTCGGTAACCTTCGCAAATTCGCAATAATGCTTTCTACAGCTTGGTAGTAAGTACTTTCTAGTACTTTCTACTAGTTTCTAGTAGTTTCTAGTAGTTTCTAGTAGTTTCTAGTAGTTTCTAGTAGTTTCTAGTAGTTTCTACAGAAATACCTGTTCGTTATCCACCTATGAGCCCTAATCTTCACGACATCCTTCGTCCTCGTCAATGTATCCTTCCACTCCTCTTCTTTTTGCTGTGTTAGACAGTCCCTCAGTCACTCAGTGAACCCAGCTTCTTCTATGCACAGGTTCCTAGCCAATGTTTTCAACTCACCCAATCATGAGAAAGCATTTGTCTTTGTATCTATCTCCATGAATCTTAGAGTCTCAATTACCTCTCTCTCTCTCTCTCTCTCTCTCTCTCTCTCTCTCTCTCTCTCTCTCTCTCTCTCTCTCTCTCTCTCTCTCT